GTTCGAGCGGTTTAGAGCCTTTAAAAGCAATGTCTGAGACATCGGAATTAAAAAAAAGGTATACTAATATTGTACTATATTGTCCTAACATAGCTGTTCAGCGAGGTCCAAGAGGCATTTTTTTTTAATTTTCATGTAAGCGTACCAGTCTGTCGGCAAAACGATGTGGATTTGTCACAGCAAAGTGTCTCCGCTCATCATCTGTGCCATGTTTTTTCAAGGTCTAAGCGACTTTGAGTGCATCCGTGTTACAGTTTTAGAAATTAAGTTGCAGCGGCTGCGAAGTGCATCTAAAAAAAAATTCCGATATCACGAGCTTTGCACCTTAAACATCTAACAAAGGAAGTACCCTGCGACGCGAAGATTTTCTTTAAATTTTGCACACATGTCGGGCATAGACTAAATATCAATCTCTGAAAGTTTTAGCTCGCGCTTTGTAGGCGCCGCCGAGATATTGAACGATTTTTGCCGGCTAGAGAGTACACTTAATGTGGAGAGCGGTCAAAGAGAAAAACACTTTTTTTTCATAACTTTGCTAGTTTCGCGCGGAAAAAATTGATTTTTTGTGGAAACGTTACCGTTTACGGTAGAAATTGGCATGGAACTTTTCGTGCCAAAGTTTGGCAAAAAGTGTCAAATTTTCGCCGACTTTCAATCTAAAAATCTCTTTTGTTTCTGCAAAGAGCGAGCTAGGATTCTCGCGTACATTTTAGAAAGGAAAATATTCTAAATTTGTGCCAAGTTTCATCAAAATCTGCGAGTCGCACTTGGGGTATCTCCCTTGTAAATTTTAAATTTGTCCCAAGTTCAGTCGAAATTTGCTCTTTGCATTTCGAAAACCACCTCCATCTATTTTGGGACAAAGAAAAAATCCTTGAAAGGTACGTGTTTATATATGTTTGACATATTATACATAATAGCTTCCTTGACCAAACTAGTCCTTATTTTGCAGATCCATAAATCAGGGGCAAGTGAAGGAGAAATCCGCTTTGCAAATTATCCTCCAACGCCCCCGATTGTCAGTGCGATATGTAGCCAGGGGCATAAACGGATTATCCTCTTCCCTGTGCGTCTTCTACCGTACGCTTTAAGCTCGAATATTCTGAAATGTAATTGTGCTGTGTTCTCGGTTATTGGCTGACAATAGGATGTGCAACTGATTGCAGAAGAGAGGAGGATGGCCTTTTCTGTAGGCGATTCGGGGGCTTCTATTTCGGTGATGCTCTACGGAGCAACAAGCGGTTGCTGCGATCTTAGATTGTCAGCAATTTTGGCGCAAACTTAGCGTTCTTTTTTCAAGCCATATGAGCTCGTAATTTGCCAAAGAGACCAAGATTTTTTTGTTCAAAAACTGGAAAAGATTTCTTTTTGGAAATTTTGGCACGGAAAATTTTACATCTGTTTCGATAGTAAAGAGCAAGGTTCTTACAAAAATTTAACTTTTCCCCACAAAACTGGTAAAGAGTATGGCCGAAAGGCTGTTTTATTTGCGACCGATTTTACATACTCTCTTGGCCGCTAAGAAAAATTGCGCATGTTCCAAGTTCAATATCTCAGCAGCCTCTCGAAAGCGCAAGCTAAAACTTTCAGATATTGATTTGAAGAGCATGACTAAAATATGTGCAAAAATTAAAGGAAATCTGAGCGTCGCACTTGGGGTACTAGAGGTAATTGGTTAGATTGATCTTTTTGGAAACGATTTGTTTGCAAAAACGCGAAAAATTGAGTATTTGAACGCGGACGAAGTACAAAAGTTTACGCACCAAGTTTTGACAAAAGATGTCGGATTTGTTGCCATCTTCGACCAAAAAATCTCGGTCGTTCGAGCGCCAGTTGAGAGTCTCGAATATGCCTTTCGATTAGGAAAAAAATAAATCTAATTTTGTGCCTAATTTCATCAAAATCTGAGCGTCACACTTGTGGTACCTCCTTCTTAAAAACTACCTTTTTCCAATAAATCAATAAAGTTCCTGACATTTTGAGATTTCAAAAATTTGCCTTTTGTCATGTCGCGCTTGTCTACATAAACCTCAATGTCCTCTCTCCCAACGCACAGAAGTTTTTCGCTGGAGATGGGTATAGTAAAGGAAGCACAGAGACGGAGCGGCGAATCCAAGAAGGGCTCTGAATCATTATTCTCTCTTCTTTTCATCTCCGCAGACGATTGATCTTATTTTATTGATACGTATTAATCGGCGTGTGGATGAGCTGAAAGCGGTTTGTATATGGTATGTGAGAGAGAGAGAGGTGGGGTTGTTTCGCGGTAAGGGTTGGGTAACGGTCGAGTTGCAGAGTGGCCGGTTTTTTACAGGTTTTTTACAAAGGGATGTGGATCCAGGTGCGAAGTATAGGCTTCGATGAAACTGGCACAAATTTAGAGTAATCTTTTCCAAGCCATATGCAAGTCTCCTAGCTGTCGCTTTGCAGAAAAGGCCGAAATTTTTTGGTCGAAAAAGGGTCAAAATTTGAAATTTTTTGCAAATCTTGGCAAGAAAACTTTCTCTTCTATTTTTGCCGTAGAGTGTGATGTTTCCACAAAAAAATCATTTTTTTTCCGCACAAAACTGGCAAAAATATAGACAAATTTTTTTCTGTGACCGAAGAGCTTTGCCTACTCTCTCGCCCTCCAAAGATGGTTGAATGGCTTCGTGGAAGTTGGACAGAGTGAAATTGGTCAAGGTGTAGAAATTGGCCGGATTTTTTCACTGCAATGCATCGAAATGTCACTATTTTTATTTATTTTTTGTCCGCCAAATTTCACTCTGTCCATTTCTCCACGAAAGTTGAATATTTGAATATCTCGGCTGTGCCTGCAAAATAGAGCTACGAAAGAACTGATATACCGCCTAGGCTCAGCATGTGCGCAAAATTTAAGGAGCCTTTGCAATGTGGGGTACTCCCATTGTTATTATATTAGGTTGGATAATAAGTTATGACCATAATTTTCTAAAATTCCTAAAATTCCTAATATTATTCATTAAATAGTTGGCCTTTTCCAACAGGACTCCATGTTATCTCTGAAGAAGATTTTAGAATATCTTTGTGAAGCAAAAGAATGGCTTTTTCTTCTCTTGATACATTAGCTATGTAAAGTCTGAATGCGAGATTTGAAGCTGACCAAAGCAATATCAGTCTGTCGGGAAAATAATGTGGGTTTTCGAGTCTTGGAATCGCTTTGCGACGGCTAGCCGCGGCTGGAGATTTGGTGCGCGACAGAAACGAGGCGAGACATTTTGCTGCAACAAATCCACATTATTTTCCCGACAAGCTGTATATTTTGTGTTCTATTCGGAAACTGTATGACTTCCCGACAATTATTGCACTACAATAATATTAAAGAAGAAAGTTTTTCTATTCCTACAAAATTTCTTGGCATTCCCCTCTGTATTATTCATCCTTTTTACTATTCCTCCTCGCTCCAAAGACGATCGCCTTTTTTTGGAAATCAAATATTATTAATGCTTGAGAAATACATTATAAGTCATGCTACAGAAACGCTTTAATTAATTAGTTTTTTTTCATTCGGAAATTAAAATATTTATGGTTCAAAGTTTGGGAAATTCGATGTGATGTCAATGGCAGAGGCTATTTTTTTGTTCGTTTTGAAGTTTTTGAATTTACAAGGGATGTGTTCAAAGTGAAATAGCGAGATTTTTATAAATTATTATTATGTTGCACACACCGGACAGAAGCCAGATACTAGTGCGAAATGAACGCTTTTGAAAAGGCTTAAAATAGTACCTAAATTTGCTGGAGGCAACATGGGCACACTCTAGCGGGCAACCACATTGCAGGCACCTAAAAGAACCACGGAGATTTTGCGGACATGTTTGGAAATCAGCCAAAATTTTCTTACACAGAAGTACCCCAAGTGCAACGCTCAGATTTTCTTTAAGTCTTACACGCACATCAGGCATGAACGAAATATTAATTCTTGAAAGTTTTAGTTTGCGTACGATAAACGCGGTCAGAGAAAAACACTTTTTGGCTATAACTTGGAAAGGTTCATGGGGAAAAATTTGATTTCTTATGGAGACATTGCCCATTATGGTAGAAATAGGCATGAAATTTTTCGTGACAGATTTCGGCAAAAAGTCTCAAATTTTCGTCGACCTTCGATCTAAAAATCCCGGTTCTTTCTGCGAAGCGCGAGCTTGGATTCTCGCATATATTTTAGAAAAAATTATTTGAAATTTGTGCCAAGTTTCATGAAAACCTGAGCGTCGCACTGGGGGTACTTCCCTTGTCAGCTAGGACAGTCGAGACAAACGATATCTGAATCGTTTTTTGAATGAATATTTCCCCCTATCCCCCACCTACTTCCTCTCTTTTGTAACGCCCTTGCTACTTCCCTGTTGTGGGTTACTGTAATTTTTTGGCGGAAATCTTCTACCGCCCTTCAATATTTCGATTACAATTTCATGAGAATTTACAACACTCCGCAATTCGGGCTTGAAATTTAATCGTACGAAAGCGTCTTTTGCCCATATATATATATATTATAGATTTCGATTATTATGATGGCTATAGGCCGCAGAACATGGGGCATCTTCCGTGTTCGAACGGAACGGGGAACTGAGGAAATTTTATGTTGGATTACTGCAACATATACATGTATGCACATATATGTCGTAAATTATATGTAAACGCCAAGTGCGTGTAATCCGCAAAGTGCAAAAGCCGCTTAACGGCGACGAAATGTAGACGGATCAAGGAAATATTGTGCGAATTGCACGTGCTCCGTTGTATCAAGATGTTTATCCTCAAAGTTTAAAAAATTTGGGATTTTTAGCGAAATACTCCTAATTCTGCCGTAGAGGGTAATGTTTCCACAAAAAAGTTAGTTTAAAAATCAAAATTTTCCTATTAATGGGATATACATGTCAATATGAAAAGCACAGGTGAACATGGCTTCCAAGTCGGGCTGAAGCAGGTTTCAATTCAATTCAATTTATTTCACTAATCACATGTAAAAATCATGGAGTGAATCAGTATGATTTCTATTGTCCAGTCAATGCAACATCCTTCCATCGCTGGCTATAGTGCTTTGGTCCTTCTTGTCCTGGGGCGTCCGCAGTGTGTGTAGGAGGTGTCCATTCCAACAGCGTCAATGCCAGAACTTTATATCCCGAGATTAGCTCCATCGTTTCCTTTTTATAGCTTCCCCTCGCTTCGAATTGATCAACATTGACTGTTCGAACTCGAAATCCAATACGATTGATGGCTACTGTCCCAGGCAAAGCCCTTTGAGCCCGCGACGGCATGGGTGGACAGGAAAGACCGACCGCTCTCCGAGGAGAAAAAATCGGAATCGAAGCAGGTTTTAGACGGCTAAACTCACCGCCTTATATAGGAGCCGGGCCAGTTACACCAACCACCTTCGGTGTGCGAATCAGCTCTAAGTCGAGCTTAATGGCTAAAAGATTAACAAATATGTAAAGGAAGATTTCCTCTTACATATTTTTTGGGGTTTTTGGAGTTTTTCCCCGTTTAGTACCGATGTTATTCCTAGCCGGGCCCCGAGTTTTTAGGATGCTGCGTAATCACGATTATTTACAACTTTTTAAAAAAACCTTCAAATTACGGTACGCACCATGTCCGCTGACAAAAAATTTCCTTATCTGCAATTCTCTCGCAATTGACGTTATAGCTGTATTTATCGAGTATACCTTATCATGTTGATGAACAAACCTCTTCCGGCTCATAAATTTTTTCATCGGGGAATGTGAAGAATGTGTAAAGGAAGCGGTTTATGTACAGACAATAACTTCTAAACAGCTTTTTTGATTAATCCAACGGAGTTTTGAACCATAATTTTGAGGAAGTTATTGTTAAAAACACTTTTTAATTTATGGAATTTGAAGAGTAAGCAATTTTTTGGAGGTTCAAATTTTTTTATTATCTTGTGAAAAAATTAAAAGTTACTAAAAAAATTTGGTACTGTGCAATTTTTTACAACTTTTGTAGCTTTCCGCACAGTACAAAAAAAATATATTTTTTTGGCTCTGCACGGTGCAAAAATTTCGTTTTTTTTGCACTGTGCAATTTTTTATACTTTTTCAATTTCCTGCACAGTGCGAAAAAAATATTTTTGTGGCTCTGCACAGTGCAAAAAAATATATTTTTGTGGCTCTGCACGGTGCAAAAATTTCGATTTTTGCACTGTGCAATTTTTTATACTTTTTTCAATTTCCTGCACAATGCGAAAAAAAAATATTTTTGTTGCTCTGCACAGTGCAAAAAAATATATTTTTTTGGCTCTGCACGGTGCAAAAATTTCGTTTTTTTTGCCCTGTGCAATTTTTTATGGCTTTTTTCAATTTCCTGCACAGTGCGAAAAATGCTTTTGTGGCTCTGCACAGTGCAAAAAAAATATATTTTTTTGGCTCTGCACGGTGCAAAAATTTCGTTTTTTTTTCTGCTCTGTGCAATTTTTTATACTTTTTTCAATTTCCTGCACAGTGCGAAAAAATGCTTTTGTGGCCCTGCACAGTGCAGGAAAAATATTTTTATGGCTCTGCACAGTGCAATTTTTTTCTTTTTTTTTGCACAGTGCAAACACCAAAACCCCACTCCCACTTATTTTTAGCCCAACAAATCCCCCGATTTCTCAACCCAATCGAGTTGAATTTGTGCATCTGATAGTCATTACCCAATGTTAATTGCCGAAGGCAATTTTTATGAGAACTCATAACCAACTAGTCGCATATGTTTTATGCATTAAACAAGACATGACTTGTATATACGGTATCATGCGGGAACTTAATTTTGCCCTCGGCATTGGAATCAAATGGGTTTTTAAAGGGCTTCAGAAGGGTGAATTCGGAAATTTAGCCATAAAAACTGAGGTTTTTTGGAATTTGAAAGTGAATTTTATGTCGATTTTTTGGAAGGATGAGTGATTTTTTATTTTTTATTTTTTTTATCTAGCACTGTGAAAAATGTCCAATTATTTTCTGCACAGTGCAATAAAAAAATTTTGGCTGCTTTTTTTTACTGTGCAGTAAAAAAGACAAATTTTTCGTTGCACAGTGCAAAATTGAGAAAGATTTTTTTGCACCGTGCAAATTTTTTAACCATTTTTTTGCACCGTGCAAAATTTATCATCATCTTTTTCGCACTGTGCAAATTTTTTGATAAGTTTTTTTGCACCGTGCAGATTATTTGACCATTTTTTTGCACCGTGCAGACTTTTTATTTTATTTTTTTTTTTTTTTTTTTTTTGACTTTACAAATTATCGCGAAATTTTTCTCGCACTATGCAGAATTTTTTTTTCGTTTTTATCTTTGCACTCTGCAAAAATAACCCTCACTTTTCCTGCACAGTGCAAACCAAAAGCCGTTTTTTTTTTGATTGCACAGTGCAATCGGAATTGGTTGTTCCTTTTTGGCATTGATTACTCAAATTAATCATCTTCTACGGAAATGTCGCGCACATCGTAAAAACAAGTAAAAAGAAAGGGGTTGCCGTAAACGGAGGGAGAAAGGCCGGCAATCCTACTTTTTATTGGCGGCAGTCCCTTTCAAGGGGAGGGGACGGCCTTTACAAAGTAATCAAAAAAGTTTTGTAATGAAGGTAGAAAACATCAAAAAAAATTTTTTTTAATTATTTGAAAAAAAAAATTAAATTAAATTTACCAAATTTGGAAAAAAATTATAGGTGCCGAAAAAATCGAAAAAATATGTCATCATGACAGATTTTTCTTAGAATTTTTTCAATTTTTCTTGTCTTTTGAAAAGCTGTGCTATATATGGCCATAAAATCATTTAGAAAATATAAAAAATATGTCATCATGACAGATTTTTTTTAGAATTTTTTCAATTTTTTTTGTCTTTTGAAAAGTTGTGCTATATATGGCCATAAAATTATTTAGAAAAAATAAAAAATATGTCATCATGACGCAATTTTTTATCTTTTTTCGGAATTTTCACGCCAAGAATTTCGAAAATCCCCCCTATTTGGCCATAAGATTTATTGAAAAACAATTTCCAAAAAATCCGCCATCCTGATCAATTTTCTTGAATTTTTGCGAAAAAACTTTTTTTTTACTTCTTGCGATTTCCTAAAACCAAAAAACCCCCCAAAAAGCGAAAAACAAAGCGATCGTTTCCCGAAAACGGCAAAAAAAAACTTAATTACCGTAGTAAAACCCACGACATCGTCAATAAAATCGAATTTTGCGCGCTTAATGAGCAGCCCATCCCTCAAAAAGACAGCTCTTTAAATTACCGTAGCGACTCCATTAATTAGGGCGGATGGGTTGGGGATGGGGAATGCAATTGCAATCAGGGATTGATTTCGGTTTAGATTGGCATTGGATTTTTTTGTGAAGGTCGATTTTTCTATAAAATAAAGTATGAGCTTTCATTTGGGTATTTTTTGTAGGAAATTGTCAAAAAAAAGCGTATTATACGTATTATTGTTTTCAAAAAGTGCGCAGAACTGGGCAAAACACGTTTTTCGCGATTTTTAAAACGCGCCGAAGTCGCAATATTTTCATAAAGTGCATGGACATTTTTTCTTTTTTGCGCAGTGCATCTTGAATTTTTTCCCACGCTTGTCGCCAACGCACAGTGCATTTTTCTCTTTTTGCGCAGTGCAAACCTCAAAAAATAGCCGTCTGCACGGTGCAGCAGGTTTTTCTCTTTTTGCACAGTGCATTTCGAACTTTTTCCCACACTTGTCGCTAACGCACAGTGCATTTTTTTCGCGCCGTGCAAGCCTAAAAAAAACAGTCGTTTGCACGGTGCGAAAAGCGGCGTTTTTTGTGCACGGTGCGGGCTGCGACAAATGTCCATACACCTTGCACATAACAATGAAGGTGTCTAAAGTGTGACACCCAAATTTTTTTTCAAATCTTCCACACTTATTTTGCCCATTACTTAGCCAGTTTTGCGCGGAAAAATCAATTTTTTATGGTAAAAGTAAACATGAAATTTTCATGCCAAAAATAACAAAAAAAAATCAAATTTTTTAACCACAAAATCTCATTGATTGTAGCAAAAAATTGAAGCTAAAATCTTGCTCTTGCTTATGTCTTACAAGTTAGAAAATCTCACAATTTGCGCCAAGATTTCTATTTGCCTAAAAACTACCCTCTCCACAATGGAAATAGACATGAAAAACTTTCTATAGAACCTTAAATTCAACCCCAAAAAAACTCCAAAGCATCCAGCTAGCCCCTGAAGACATCTGAGAATTATAAAAACTACAGCTTTTTAGTTTATTGCAGGCATAACTCATATCTTCAACCCAAATCATTGAGTCGGAGCCAATCATTCGCGAAGGTCGGTTCGCTTTACGAGCCTCGATTCCTAGCGTCTTTAACTACTCCTTTCTCTCAAAGGAGGAACGTTTTATTACTTGCTCCATTTTATAATCAAATCGTCGATTCCCTCTTACTTTACCTCCCTTTATTTCCGTCGGTTACGCTTTGTAAATGAGATGGAGAGCGGCGGTTAATTGTTGAGTTAGCGGATGGAGGGGATACGGTAGCCTTCGGGCTTGATATTTTGGAGATTTTGTTTCGCATTGATAAAAGGCAATGTGATAAAATAATAGCGTCAGTTTGTCGGGAAAATAATGTGAATTTTGCTATGTTTTCTCGGAAGGTCCAACTGACCATATCCTATCCACACTACCACCCTTCCTTGTCGATAGCATTATTTTACGCGGATTGTGCCCTCAGAGCCTCCCAATCGGTTTATCGCGGTGTCATTGGGGCCATTGTAGTCCAGCTCATGGCGTACGTACGTTTGGGATCTTTAAACAGCCCTGTATTTTATAGTCCATCCCCCGTGCAGGACGTAATCGTGGGCTCTTACAGTAGTCGGAGGGCGACGTGCGAACAATCGGCTCAACGCAACTGGCGTCAATCCCCTCATTGACGACAATTAACGTAATGAGTGCGGATTGGCGTCAGCGATTACGGTACGATTAAGTGTATCTGGTTTTTCAATATACACTTGTGTATTGTGCTGACGGAAATGTTGAAGAATGTTTTTTGTTGGATCTATAAGCTTGCTGTCGGCTGGTTGTATGTTGTATGACAAGTCGTGTTTTGGTGAGAAGTTTGTTCCCAAAAAAAAGGCAGGCTAAACCCGAAAATTTGAGGGCCATTTGTTGCAAATTAGCAACGGAGCTCCGCGGAGGCGTTCCTAGTGTAGCTTTTAGCATGTTTTGAAAGAGATCTTGCAGGGGTTATCTAAACATACCATTTTTATCTCTGAAAATTTAGACTATTTTATGTAAAATTATAAAGCT